TTCCTATTTCCTCTACATTTCTGTGTTTTCTGTGTTCTTTGGAGACTTGGATTTTGCGGTTTGTGGAGATCTATACTCCTCTGTCATGCTATATTTGGTGCAAGGAGCTCCAGGACTTCTCTGCAATGTTTTCTCAGTTTATAAGGGAGGCATAGAGCTCCCTTTTTGGAATTGCTGTTGGTATTTTGTGACATGGAAGTCTTCTCGAGCCAAGGGTTGGGGGGCTCTCAATTTATTTTTGGGAGGCCCTTGGCTCCCTCTATGGAGTTGCAGGTGTTGGATTATGCGGTGGAGGTCATTTGGAGCCACGGGGTGGGTGGCTTTTGCTGCTGCTTTGCTTATTTACAGATACCTCTCATGGTGCATTTCGGTGTGCGAGGAGGCCCAGGACTCTTTTGCTTTATTTGAGAGGTGTTTTGGGATGATTGTTATGAGGGGTATGGAGTATGGGAGACACTATTTTTCAGTTTGCTTTGATGGTTTCATGGGTGTTTGGAGGCTGGATATTTTGAAAGGACAGTATCCTTTCTTTTTGGAGGCCCACGGCTCCAATATTTTTTGCCACTATTATTTTTTGGGTGGGTTGTACTGGCTTGGTTTGCTAGATTTTGGTGGTAGTTTTGCGGGGTGCTTGTCTTGCCTCGAGTTGTCTATTTTTGCTGTTTGGATTTTTGGAGGAACTTGGACCACAATGATATTTCTTTCCATTTACACTAACCAATGCCTTCATGTTTCAGCCCTTCTGAGATGCAGGTTTTTGGAGGTTGCTTCGCCGGGTTCCTGCCCTCGTGAAGTTGCTCTTCGACTTACAAGTTTTCTTACCTTCTGTTTTTCGTATACATGTTCATTTTGGGTATACGCCATTTATTTGGGTATACGTTTTGGTTTGATACATGTATTTTTTGGGCTTATTTCTTTTTGGATACGCTTTTTATTATTTTTGGGTGGAGTTGTACTGAGGAAAACGGAACCCCTAAGATGCTTTATTTTTATTTTATAGAGGGGATCTTGGTTTTCTCAAAAATCTTTGTAATCACATATTTTGAAATTAACACGTAAAGAGCCACGAGTTGCTCTTTCTATAATATATATATGACACACACACACAAACATACATACATATACATATACTTATATATAAGTCCAGCTGCATTGGAAAATGTTTATGATTTTTAATTACATTTTGACCATTTTTATTGAATAGGAGAAATATATTGCATATTAACATATGGTATTAGAAAGTCCTTATTCCTGTCAAAACTTTCTCTAATAAGTACATTGTTTAGGATTATTGTGATTGATGAAGCTCACACTTATAAAGGAGCTTTTGGATGTCATACTGCTCTTATTTTGAGGAGATTGCGACGAATCGGTTTGCATGGTAAATTTAACTTCTAGTTTTCCCATGACTAAGAAGGATTGGTAATACATGCTTTTTCTGCTTTCCTTTCCAATTAAATTTTCTTTTGCCTTCCATCTTTTTTTGCAGTTTATGGCAGCAATCCTTCATTCATTTTCTGTACGGCAACCTCAGCAAACCCTCGTGAGCATGCCATGGTATATTCTACAAATGAAATTTGAACTTCAGCTATTTGATTTTTTTTAGAGCTTGTTTCAAATGTTTCGAACTCTATAGCAGGGACAATGTATTGATGTGTGATTTATTCATTGCGGTAGTTTTTCAACACATTTGATTGGTTATATATATATATATATATATACCAATTAACTAATTTAAAGTATGTTCTTAAAATATTTATTTATGTTTGACCCATTTTTCATAACGAGCATGTTGGACATCACTTGTTTGTGAAAAATAAACTTTTTTGATAGTTGTATTCTTTCATACTTAAAACATACTTGACTGAGCCGTCACTCCTTCCTGAATGTTTTCATGCCATCATCGCAATAATCATCATGATAATGCCTTCTTAATGATTGCATAATTTTACACCCTTCATTATGGGTTTATACATTTAAATTAATTATCATTTCGATAATTGTTACTCCCATGGCAAAAATTCAAATCCTTATTATTCACATAAATATCATGGTTTCTTTTATGGCGCTTAAAAATTATTTCAATTCTTGGTTTAAACAATTATATTTATCACATTTCTATCTTGATACCTATAATCACTACTCTTCAATTGAATATATGGATGAGGCATGCACTTTACTTTTTAGTCTATTATAAATACTAATTATAAGCTCTTCCTTTCATTGTCCATATGATACCTATCATTAATCATACTATGTTGATCGCTCTTCTTCTATATACTCCCATCATCTTATTCTAATAGGTATGGCCAACCTCCTCCTGATTGGATGATTCATTTGTTTGTGGTGCAAAAACTTGATTTTATTATTCAAATGGCACCTTTCACTCCACCTACTCCATAAAACTTCTCGAATTTCATACACGTATTTTATTTCCTAACTGTTTGCATCATTTCACTATATCCATGTTGATGTGAATGCGGGGTTTCTTTATATATTGAGGTTGGGCTTGAGCAATTGATTGAGCATAAATATGATATCTTGCTAATATTAGATGATGTGATTGTTCAGTACTCGTTAATGTTACTCTTATACCGTTGTTGTTGGAGTTATGTTTTTACTCTGCCACGTTCTAGGGTTACTTATTGCTTAATATTGTGTTGATATTTTTCCATTGCTGTTTAGGAGAGAGATACACAACGTTCGCTCAAGTACGGATGCCTCTAATCATTGTTTCTATCAAATAAAATCTTCCATTATGAGCATAGATGGTCCACAAATTTCAGTACTTTTGCACACTCCATCATAATGAAACACGACTAAATTGCACACTTCATCACTGTTTAGATTGTTAATATGATATTGGCATGATGAATGAATGCATTCAAAGCCAAGATCCTTTTATAAGTGTACAAGCTATCTCTTCTGTTGACAGTAGAGATACCCAGTTCTTTTGGCCCCATGACATTAAAGACATAACACCCAAGATTTATTGGAATTGATACTCCTACCTTTTTCACCAAGAATTACAAGTATGGTTCATAACACAAAATACAAGTTTATATAAGCGCATCTGCACAATTTGCAAATTACACTCACAACATACATGAGCCTTGGCAATTCTTAGTATGCCCGCAACAATATCCCTAACTTATTCAGAGCTTATGCAAATGGCCGATACATAGTCAAGCTGTCTTTATGTGCATGTCCCTTCAATGCGCCCCATGACTCTCATAAATAGACCTAAACTTTCTAAGCAACAATTTACAACAGCTCTTGATAACTATTCCGCACTTGCATGTTAACCATCTACTACATGCAATTAACACTTCCATTTGTCTACATTTCTTGCAAGTATGGATTTGGCTGTACATGTATGTGTCAACACGCTGTGCCTGTTTTGTTTGCAATTGTGGATTTGGCAATGCGTTATTATCTCACATGCCTTTTGTGTGTGAGTAGTGTTTGTTTGTGCTTGTTACTTGCCACCTGTGCAAGCTCCAACAAGCACATACAATTGCCACACAGACACATGCTTGAGAGCTTGCTCCATTAGCATATGTTTATTTGTCAATCACTATAAGCAGGATCCACAACATTTTTCGTTGCTTTGTTTATTTTGGACTAGCAAAAGGTGCAAAACATTATTCTAGTGCCTCCTTTGATACAAGCTTAATTATACCTCACCTACTAAAACAATTTGATGCCTGGTCGAATTGGCATGGAAATATTACCAATTCTCTCTTCAAATTGCCATAAAAGTAATGTCCACCCAATTGGCATCTCATTCTGGCATGCTCTTTTATTGGACCAATAATTTTGTTATATTCTTCTTTCTATTTCTTTGAACACTGTGATTGATCTTTTCTACCACTTTATCAAATAACGGTTTTATTGTAGGAGGGTTTCTCGTCTTTTTTTTTATGGCTTCACATAATTGACATGAAATATGGTATGTACCTTGAGTTCTTTAGGAAGTTGAATTTGGTAAGCGCTATTTTATATTTTGCTAAAATTGAACAAGGGATGTAATATTTGGAAACCAATTCGTAATCTACAATTTAGCTTCAATTTTTTTTTTTTTTCAAATTTTAAGTATCCAATGTCAATAACACCCCATCGCCAATACTAAACACCAAAGAGCTTCGTCTCTTGTCCGCATACTTCATCATTCCTCGATTTGCTTTCACAAGCTTATCATGTGCTTCATTGATCAACTCTTTATATCTCTTGGCGATTGACATGCTACAAAACATTTCTCGCCAATTCTCTATCTTGTTACATTGAGATGTTAAGGGTTGTTGTTTCATTACTAACTATAATAAAATTGGGCGCAATCTAACAACTCTAGCTACTTTTTTTTTTCATGGAGTGACATAATATATAGAGGTGCAAATCGGCTTGATGGTTAGGGTTTGGTTTTGGCCTGAAGTTGACTTGAAATGAATATACTTGACTAAATCGAACTGTTCATCTATGGGCTAAAATATTTGATTTGAAATGTAATCAACTTGTCTAACGCATTTATTGTATGGATCATACAAGTATTTAGATCAAAGTAACCTGATTAACTTGAATATAATCCGTTTAATCCAATTAAATTGACTCGAACCCAAATAATCATTGGGTATTCGGGTCAGCCCTAACACCTGACCTGATTGACAATCAGTTCTACATGCTTGAACTAAACCTAACTAAAATGGTAATCAAATCAACTCAAACCCGAACCTGGACTTGTTATGTCAGGTTCGGGTTGAGTTTTTTTTTGCACCCCTAATAATCTCTCATATACTTTTCAAGAAATGCATTGATTTGTTTTGTTTGGTTGTTTTTTTTTTTTGGGGTACATTGTTATAGAAAAGAGGCAAATCGGATTTTATCAACCCTGAATTATGCCACCTTGACTGGCCCCGTAAAGTAGAGGACATGCTTCCTTAGGAAATCCTCCAACAAAATCAGAAACTAATGTACAAGGCTTAATTGATAAAGGTTGTAATAAACTTGCTTCTATTTTTCATTATGTTTTGTTGCTGTACCAATCACGTTCAAACATAGGCTTCATCATAATCCTTTGTGTGTGGCCAATAAATTATTCGAGGTAAGACCACAAACATTCTCTCTCTTTTAGATGATTCTCCATAGAAAGTCACGAGTCTTCCTTCTTTTACAACTATTAGACTGCCCTCAATCCAAAATTGACGAATAGATCCTTCTTGGATTTTCTGCTCCATTTGCAAGAAGAATACATCATCTTTAGCACCCTTATTGTTATGATTATCATTTAAGTCCATCCCTAAAGCAGTCATAGCATAAAGATGACAGAATTTTTTTTTTCCTGGTAAGGGCATCAGCCATTCGATTGTACCTTCTTGGTTGATGCTTCTAAAGTCCTATTCTAGCAAGTCATCATATTGTTGAGTCAATGATACCACTTCTTCCTCAACAACTTGATGAAGGATCACTGACTGTTGATGTAACTCTATCATGAACTGAATTCTTCCCGCCATTGAGATCTTCCAACTCTTAGGTTTTGATGCCAATTGTCACGGGGCAGATGGTTTAAGAACTTTATAGTTCTTTCTTTTGGTGAAAACTAACCATATTAGGCAATTGGGAAACCATTTTTAGCATGAGTAAAGTACCAAAATAGTCCACTGACTATTTATATGGGGAATTTTTAGTCCAACGATTTCTAAATGTGCTAATTTAGTTCCCCATATTGTTTTAATGGGGTCTAAAATAGTCATCATTGGGATTATTTCAACCAATTTTAAAAGAGCCTGGAGACTTAATTGACACTTATATAAGCCCCTCCCCCCCACCCCTCCCCAACAAAGAATATGGAAACTATTTTGACACTTTTCTCTTTTAGCATTTATGCTTCCCACAACTTGTACCCAACATTCACATTAAAGACCAAGAGACCAGCAAGGCTCTACAAGAATTAACACTTCCATATTTTATTCAGCTGTAAGTACAGTGAAATATGTAGATTAACACAGTTTCCTAATACAGGTGTCTCTAAGTTACAAGCACACCTGCGGAATTCTTAGATTTCACTCATAGCATATAGGAATTAAAGCATATAGAAACTTTTAAAATTCAATATTTTTTTTGCATGGCAGCAACATAGACATTAAAGATTGAGAGCTCAGCAAGGCTTTACAAGAATTAACACTCCCCATCTTTTTTGCAGCTGTAATTATAATGAAATATGTAGAATAACACGGGTTCCTAATACAGGTGTCTATAAGTTACAAACACAATCGCGCAATTCTTCGGTTTTGCTTATAGCATATATGAATTATATAGAAACTTTGAAAATTCAATATTTGTTTGCATTGCAGCAACATAAATCTTCTGCTACGACCTAATGCTTTTGTTTTCTGGGATTGCAACAAATTAAAAATGACGGACACATAATATATATTATTTGTGATGATTTCATTAAGGTAAAACTGACGACTTGTGCTAATGAAGGTTATATTGATGATTCACATTCGCAATGCTTGCAACTTTACTATTCAAAGGCCTGGTTTATTTATTTTAGTATTCAAAAGCTTGGTTTATTTATTTTTGTTACTTTGCTGTTTCGCTCTGGGCAGGAGCTTGCTGGTTTGCAAAGCGTAGGGTTGATTCAGAGTGATGGAAGTCCCTCTGGAGTAAAATATTTTATGATGTGGAATCCACCATTGCAATCGGTAGGATGGGTTCATAGTCTATTAATACTTCATAAAATGGCTGCAGTTTTTCAGCCAAACCTTATGCTGCTCTTTAGTTTTATGATTTTTTTTATTCATGATTGTTGATAAATTTTAAGTCATATTGAGTTCATCATGTGTGTTGATAAATTTTTTGTTATTTTGAATCTCTTTTAGGAAGTCAAGGCCGTTAAAAGCACAGGGAAGTCGTTGAATTGGGAGTCTGCTCATAGGCGCACGAGGTATAGGTTTCTTTTTTGCACAATGTTGTTGCTGCATTTGGTAGTGAATTTTGCAAATTCATTTATAAATTTCTTTGTGTAGAATTAGTTATTATTTTTCTTTTATATAGCTCTATACATATATATACATACCCACAAGGGGGAAAGAACTCCACGCAAGAATCTATGAACAAACACAACTAAAACTGACTCCTCGCACATAGAGGACATAAACTTATAGGTTCCCCCGGACGAAGGAAGCTTCTACACAAAGGAAGAGATTGGGAAAGCAAGAAGAATCCAGAAAAATAGCTATTAAAACTTCCAATATGACAAAAGGCACCAAAGGTTCACGATCAGCTTTCACGCGTCTCCTACGATCGTGAGAAATCGCAATCCCTCCTCGATACTTCCCTCTTTCAATGCTTTGAGGGTGGTTTTGGTCCTTCGAGATAAATCGCGGGGAATCGGTTTCCGTGTTTCCCTTCAGTGCCCCCACCAAGGCACTAAACAAAACCCTTGTCGGTCTCCCAGGGTTGGGGGAGCTTCCACTTCATAGGTCGAAGCTTCCATTTCACGTCAGCCACCCCTGGGTCCCACTGACTGCACTGTCTCCCAAGGCACCTGAGGGTCTTCTACCACGTTCGAACAAACTTCCATCTCAATCCCATCTTTTGGAACTATGTGCCCCGCACGTATTGTTGAATTTTTCCAAAGTAGCACACAATCAGTTCAGTTTTGTGAAACGTGAGAGTGGCTAGAACCCTCCCACCCCCATCAACTTTGTGGCCCTGAAATTTTCTCAGTCGTATTTTTCCCGTGTTAGTACCGGTATCTCAGTCCACTCATTTTGTATTGCCCTTAAATTTGGTTCCACTGACCCTGCTCTGCTGATAAGTGATTCTGTGACCCGGGGCTCCGTCGAAGGAAGTAGGGTGATGCGCTTCTCGTCCTTGGTGAAAGAATACATGTTTCTATATCCATCGTGTCGAGTCCTCCGATCAAACTGCCACGATCGTCCCAACAAAAGGTGGTTGACATCCATAGGAACTAGATCGCACTGCACCTAGTCTTGTAGCTTGCCTTCGAATGAAAACTCTTTCAAGCATCTTCGATCGATGCTGACTCGATTCTTCTTCTTCTATGTCAGTGAATATATTTGGGAATACCTCTGAGTTGTAAGTCCCCAATTTCTCTACCATCCGTGTCAATGCCATGTTTTGGTTGCTTCCACCGTCGTTGATTAGACTGCAAACTTTTTCGTTCACTGTGCAACAGGTGTAGAATATGTTGTGACGAAGTCACTGCAGATTCTTCGTGTCCTCGGTCTGCAGGATATGTTGAATCATGAGTGCTTCTCCATTGTCTGGTGGGAGTTGATACACCTCACCCTGTTTTGTTGCTTTTTCTTCGTCACTTATCTCTTCTACGGCGCTTTGAGCTGTGAGTGTGACTAATCTGATTGTAGGGCTGCATTAGGCTATGTGGCCGTAGCTGTGGCATCGATAGCACTTCCTGGCCGGTACCGTGTTGGAAGAGCTATCGTTTTCTCCCGTTTCTCTCTGCTTTAATCTGTAGTGTCATTCCCTTGCTCGGGCTTGTCTGTCTCTTGGAATATCCCTGTCAGTCGTGGTAATTGTAAGTGACGGCCTGCCTGAAGGTTGCTGCTTGAAAGATGATTGTTGTCGGCTCTGCTTTTGCTGTCTTTCCTCCTTCAGGGCTAATGTTTGGACATCCTCTAGCTATCGTTTGTTCCTCTGACTCCGCTAGCTCGCATTTCAACTACAAGTGGTCGAATTAGGTTGTGAACTTCTCAATTAAAAGATCATTCTGTTGTAAGTTGTGGAGTTTCTGAAACATATCATGCCGATAATGGGGTGGTACTTTTTCTGCATTGTCTTCTTCATCTTCTCCCACTTAGTTATCTTCTCGTTGCCTTCTCTTTTCCTATGCTTTTGTAGATTTTCCTATTATAAGGAGACATTTTTCTTTGGTTTAATGGCAACTAGCTTGACTCGTTTATCTTCTGGTACATTTTTATATTCCGAAAATCCGTTCAACTGTTTGCAGCCAATCGAGAAATTTATTGGGATGCATACCTCCCTCAAATTCTGGGAGGTCTATCTTGATGCCAAAGTTCTGCGAACTTCCATAAGGGGCCTCTTCTTTCAGCCTTATTTGATATTAGATGCCAAAACAATTTGGTCGATATTCCTCGTCACTATGATCTTTCCTATGGAACAAATCATCTTCTCGTCCCTCTCTTTTCTTTAACTCTCAATCACAGTCGAAAATAACCTATTCTTGGTATCCATCATTCAGCTTTGCTATAGTCTCCATTGTAGACTATATAGTCTCCATTTTAGACGACCAATTTCTAGTTGAATCTTCGCGGTGGCATGGCTAGGGTTGGGAATCGAAAGGAAAAAAGAATTGGAGGTGGAGGCTTGGGTAGGGTGGATGCTAGAAATCTCTAGGATGAAACTAGGGTTGAACCAGTCCTAATACCAAATGATACTGGAACTAGTAGGTAAATCCGTGGATACACAAAAATAAACTTTTATTAATAGGGAAATAGAGGGTACAACACAACGCAACAATACAGAACATGGACGACACAAGCAAACACTACTAAATGTATCCCAGTGGGTGGTGGAGGTTGACTAGAGGGATAGAGATGATTGGAAGGGATGACGACAACCACGGGAGGCGAGTGACAACTAAGGGAAGGCGCGGAACTGTAGGGACAACAAGTAGGGAAGGTTGTAGATGGTTAACAACTGGCAATGGGGTGACAGGGAGGAGTTGGGAAGCAGGTTGGAAGGCTGGACAACAGTCATAACCTGCAGAAAAGGGGAAAACAAAGTTTTTGGTGATGGAGAGAGAGTTTGGCCAATGAGAAGTGTGGAGCAGAAGGTTTGGGGAAGGTAAAAGGGAAAGATACAATCACTAACTTGGAGAGGATACAGTCGGAGCACCATCACCTCATCAGATACAACTCACAAGGAGAAAGAACTCCACACAAGAATCTAAGAACAATCACAACTAAAATTGACTCCCTACACACAAAGGACATAAATTTATAGGCTCCTCCAGACGGAGGAAGCTTCTACATAAAGGAAGAGAAAGGCAAGAAGAATCCAGAAAAATACCTATTAAAATTTCTTATATGAAGACGGGCCCTAAAGGTTCGCGATCAGCCTTCACGCGCCTCTTGCGATTGTGAGAAATCGCGATGCTGCCTTCGTGATACTTTCTGTTTTCGAAGCTTTGCAGGTGGGTTATGTCTTTCGCGATAAATGGCGGGGGGTCAGTCCCTGCTTTCCCCCCAGCACCGCTGCCAGGTCGCTAAATCACCCTTTCAATTCGATTCAACTCAAAAAGACTCGGGTTTAACTTGAATCTCTTGAACTTGCAGCACCCTTGCAGCCATTTAAGTGTGACCTGGCAAGATTGAGCCAATTTTGAGAATAAAAAAGCTTCACTGCAATTAACAAATGCTGGCTGATTCACTCAGGCATACAACTCTCCTCACATGCACTCAGAACTGATTTTGAGTCTGTCAAATGTTGAGGAAGACAAAGAAGAGACTGGTGAGATTCACGATCCAAATAGCTGTAATCTCTCCATTTAGTAAGTGACTTTTTCTCAATCATTCTTGAGGGACCCACTCAGTTAGCATGGTTACAAACTTTTGAAGCAAATGACGATAAGTGAATATAAATTGGAATGAGACTTATCTTCTATAACAAACTTATAGCTCGTAGGAGAAGATCCAAACAAGATTCCATCTTTCTTAGGTGTAAGCAAAGTTAATATGGTGTGGTGACTCTTGCTTTTTCTTGAAATATCCTCTCATAACTAATTGATCCATCTGCCTCTTAAATTAGAAACATTTAATTGGGTTCATTCTATAATGAGGCAAATTAGGATGATTGAATTAAATCAATAGCATGCTGTATATCATTTTAGCAATTTAATTTTGCAATGTTATTAAATTTTTTTTTTCTTTTTTTGACAATTGTTCATTATTTTGATAATTATTTCATGACTCAGACTTATAAGTTTTGAATAAAAAGGCGGAAATTGATGTTCTCATTGGGGGAAAAAGAAAACAAACAAAAAACTAAAACATTCTCAAAATTTTGCTAAACCATAAGTCTGTCTATACAAAAAAAGCCAACAATATCCCAACTTTTTTTAAAAGCTAAAACACATTCAATATTGAAAGATTTTTTGAATTTACAATTGATACAAAAGGAACTAATTATATAAGCGGTATAAATTGATTTTTTTGTAAATGAAAACATCAAATAGCATGAGTTTATTAATATATATATCTATCATATATATCTATCATATATAAATAAATTTTAGAAGTTAGGGGCACGTATCCCTTCACCCTTTAAATCCTCCTTGGTTTAAAGGAGGATTTAGTTGTATTTTGTAAAGCAAAACAGTATAATGCCATGCCAAATTGACCCCATGTCTAAGTTTTAGTGATTTAATTTTACTAGTTTTGTGAAATTCAATGATTTCCTCTTTTTAATAGCCATTTCTGGATTATTTGACATTGGCTGGCATTATTAGACAATTTGCTATTATATAACGTTTCAGCTTTATTTTCTCCTTGGCCAACGCAGTACTGTAATTTCTAATATGATAATTTTGTTTTCAGCCCAATTGTGGAGACTTCATATCTTTTTGCTGAAATGGTCCAACATGGTCTTAGATGCATTGCCTTCTGTAAGACACGGAAGCTCAGCGAACTAGTTCTTTGTTACACGTGCGTCCTTTGAAACTTATAAATGCGCCGTTCTACATTCTATTTAGTCTTCCATCATTGTAAAGCTTCTTGCAAAGTTAGTCCCATTGCTGGCTTTAGTATAGTACTTCTTTTTCATGTAATTGACCCGCATGATATTTTGTGTGTAATGTAATTTTTTTTTCAAGCTCTGATTATTGGAATACGTGGAGTAGCCTCATTACTTAAGACAATCATCTTCAAGTATCATCATTAAGCAGTTCTTCCTCGGCAAAAAGATTTGTAAAATTAGGTTTCACATCTCATTCAACACTCTATAACATGATAATAATGATGAGAGTTTATGAAGCTTGTCCCAAGTGGTTAGGTCAAGTTTAATAATAATGATGGTGGTGATCAAGCTATAGCTACATTTCCGGAGTAGGATAAATTTGCCTTCCTAGCCTACCATGACCTTCTTAGGGAAATCTACTTTTCCATTGCCTGTTAGATGACCCTTTTGTTAGTGTTATAAATAAACTTTTGGGACATTTACATGCATAGCATACAGTTTTTATATATATTTGTATCTCACTTAACTGTCATATTTATAGCACTCAAATTCTTAACATCACATAAAAAATACCACAATTAATACCTTGTAAATGTGAAATAGACCTTTTCTTCATGCATAATTTTATGGCACCAATGTGTTATAAGTGTTAATATTCAACTTTGGATGTTAGATACGTAAATATATAAGAATTGTGTGGTATTTATGTAATTTCCATAAACTTTCTCCTGCTGCTTTTTTTTTTCACTTTCACTTTTTCCAGGCGGGAAATTCTTCAGGAAACTGCATCTAATCTGCGTGATTCTATATGTGTTTATCGCGGTGGATATACTCCTCAGGTATGCCTTAACCTATATTGTTGAAGAAATTTGTTTAGATTAACTAACTTGCTTTGTGCCTTAGTGTGAAAATAATTATTTTCTGATTTTTTCTGCAACTCTTGTCCTGATTCAATCTTAATTTGCTGGTAATATTTCTCTGATTTATGTTTTCCATGATAGTGTAGGATAGGAGGAGGATAGAAACTGATTTATTTGAGGGTAAGCTTAAAGGTGTTGCTGCTACAAATGCGCTGGAGTTAGGGATTGATTTAGGGTATATTGATGCGACTTTGCATCTTGGATTTCCGGGTAGTGTTGCAAGGTGTGTATGCCATTTCTATATGCCGATAAATTTATGCATTTACATACATACTGCACAATTCCTATGTATTTGCATATCTAACACCGAAAAATTAATTTTGTTACATTTAAACAGCCCAAATCTTTCACATCAAGTAAAAAATACCACCATTTTTTACTTTTAAAAAGTGAATGCACCTTTTTTTGCATGGGTAAGGTGGCATAGGAATTGAGTGGTTTGTATATAAATTCCCTTTTTAATTTTGCGCAGCATTTGCATGCACAGTTGTGAGATGGTGCGGTCATGTATATTGATTTCTTTGGATGCCTAATCAGTTTATTTTTATTTGAAGTTTGTGGCAGCAAGCTGGTAGATCTGGAAGAAGATCAAAGCCATCCTTAGCTGTCTACGTTGCGTTTGAAGGACCGTTGGATCAGTATTTCATGAAGTTCCCTGATAAGCTCTTGACGAGATCTGTTGAATATTGCCAAGTTGACAGTCACAATGAGAAGGTCTGCTGCATATAACTTTTGATTTTAACTTGGTTATTTTAATGTTGTGGCCATTCATGAAGGGCTATTTTAGTCACAAATTATATATTAAGTTGGATTCCTCAGATTCTTTAAACAATTATCAAAATTGTTCTGTTGTCTGTTCTTTTAATTTTTGGTATATCTTATTTCCTAGTTGCTTTATTTTCCTGTATACAACATCTAACTTCACATATAGTAGGAGTGGATTGAGATCGTGCAGGTTGCAGGAGTTAACTTTTGTGTAAGAAATAATTTTGTTTGATATTTTTATTATTTTGATTCCATTGTAATTTTTTTATATTTACATTTTTTATAATGGAATAAAGATAATAAAAACGTCGAATAAATTTATTTATTATATAAAAATCAACTTGCTCCATAATCTGGACTATCTTAATCCACTCATGTTTTACATTTCAGGAGTTGTACACAATAATATGTCGGTAAATTTATCAAAAAATTCAAGAGAAATAATAATTTTTGAAATGCCCTTGTTTTTAACAGCATTAATTTCAATTGTCATTAATTTAGAAGGGATGACTGTTTTGATCCCTGATAAAAAAATTTGTAACTAAATTAAGTTTTTTTTTTATAAAGTTTAGGATTAAATAACCCTTGAAGAATAATCAAGAAACTGGTTTCTTTCTTTCCTTTTTGGTTCTCTTTTTATATTACTCACCAAATTTAACTTGGCATTTCTATATTTGTATAATAAGGGAATGGTCGGTGAATTAGGAAGCATAAATTCCTGAAAGATTAAATTAAGGGCCAAATCACATTCATAGGAAATGTGCCAAAAAGTGCATTTTGCTTTAATACAATTTTGATAATTCTATTTGAATTTAGAATAATTACAATGCACTCCTCCAGGTGTTGGAACAACACATAGCTTGTGCCGCTCTTGAGCTTCCAGTTTCCTCTCAGTATGATGAGAAATATTTTGGTCCTTCTCTGGAGCGGACAATAATTTCCCTCAAGAACAAAGGTCACCTGATCACTGATACTAAAGTTTCTGCCACCAAAATTTGGAGTTATGTTGGTCCTGAGGTACGTCATTATAATCTGCCTGAATTGATTTCCTACCAAGAATGATAGGATGTAGTGATTTTTACTTAATTTTATGATTTGCTATCAAGAATGATTGGATTTAATATTTTTTTTACTTAATTTTATGCTTTGATTTTTCAGGATAGGCCTTCAGCTGCAGTTAGTATTCGTGCTATAGAAGCAAATAGATACAAAGTGATCGTTAAGTCGACCAACGAAGTCTTGGAAGAAATTGAGGAAAGCAAGGCCTTTTTCCAGGTTTGGATGAAATTGGGGAAAAGGGGTCTACTTAGTATTTTCATAATCTGTTGTTCTTATTTTTTAATTATAGTAAATTTTCTGAAATTAATATATACGGGATAGGGTTGGTGTAGCTCCTGTGGCCGACAAAATTAGAGAGAGTCGTCTTAGATAGTTTGGTCACATTAAACGTCGACCATCTGATGATCCGGTTAGGAGAGTAGATGTTTTAGATTCAACTTATGTTAAGGAAGCAGGTAGACCTAGAAAGACTTGGGCATATTGTATAAAAAATGATCTTAATTTATTACTTTAAAATGAAAATGTGACACTCAATAGGACACACCGGAGAAAAAGGATTCATGTAGCTGACCCCCCCAAGGAGAAAGCTTGTTGTTGTTGTTGTTCTTGTAAATTTTCTTGTAATTAATTTTGTCTAAACCATTACAAAATGCACAAATTCTCTGGCTGTTTTGGTATCTATTCAGCGTCACAAACCAGTGGTTACATTTCTGCTTTTATGTCCATTTTTTCAGATATATGAAGGAGCTGTTTACATGCATCAAGGTGGCACTTACCTAATCAAATCCTTGGAGTTGTCAGAAAAGATTGCTTTTTGCCAGAAAGCCGACTTAAAATACTTTACCAAAACACGAGATTATACGGATATTCATGTGGTTGGAGGTGACCTTGTATGTTTCATTGCTTCGCCATTACAATCAACTCTTAATTTTTCTAGCAATGGCACTTGTTTTCCATTGACCTTTGGAATTTGGAATAATATTTTGGGGCGTTTGCATAAAGACCACCCAATTCTTATGTATCTACAAATAGAATGTCTAAACTCTAAACTTTACCTTTTGCATTTATACAACCCAAATCTTTTGTATCACATAAAAAATATTACTATTTTAACTTTTAAAACATGAAATACACCTTTTCATGCATAGGTGAATGGCACATATGTAACAATTGAAGTTTAGGTGTTAGATATGTAAATATATAGGAATTAAGTTGTTTTTTGGTGCATATCGATAAATCCACAGCTTAATATCTGCAATTCTAGAACATCTTTATTTCATTCCATGTGATTTTAAGGTCCTTGTTCATGGAATGCAGTCATTAGTGAAGCATTGAATTCATAAATCATAGGGGCATTTACATACATCCCATACAATCTTATATATGTACATATGTTGCACCTAAAATTTCATATTTACCTACATAACATTTAAATCTTTGACATCACATAAAAAATAATTATCAAAAACTTTTTAATAGTGAAATACACCTTTTCATGCATACTTTTTTAGTACCAAGTTGTTATAAATAAAAATATCAATTTTTTGGCGGCAAATATGTAAATGCATAAGAATTGTGTGGTATTCATGCAAAATTTCCAAAATCATATTTTTAATCCTTCATTTAGTTTAATTTGAAGATTTATTTTTGTATCTATTTTTGTTGATTAGGCATATCCTCCCGCCATGACTACTGAATTTGCATCTAGAAGAACAAATGCACATGTAAATGCTTGCATGGTCACGACAAATTGGTTTGGTTTTTATAAAATTTGGAGAGTGAGTAATCAAATATTTGATAAAGTTGATCTTTCTCTTCCTTCATACTCATACAATAGTCAGGTTAGTTATCGGATACCAAATATTTTAGAATTATTATTTTTTATGGCTTGTTTGGGATCACTTTTGTTTTTTATTTTTTATTTTTTATTTTTGCTTTTATATAAAAAACATTTATTTAGTGAATTCTTTTGCATGTTTTTATTTTTATTTTAAAAAAGATGTTGGCTCATTTTTTAAAAACACTAAATTTATTTTTGAGTGTTTCTACGAACAACTAAACATGTTATAACATATAAAACTTGTTTTATTTCAAATACAAATATATATAAAATAAAATAAAAAAGAATAAAAAAAACAAAAGTGATCCTAAGCGGCTAGGCTTTTGTCTCATCTACTGTGATTCATACTTGTGATTGGCTTGAATAGGCTGCGTGGATTCAAGTTCCTCGATCAATAAAAGTTGCAGTGCAGAAAAACAATCTGGTATTTCGAGCTGGTCTGCATGCTGCTTGCCATGCTCTTCTCAATGTTGTTCCTCTGTAAGTTTTCAATATTTGGTTGATTCTTTGGTGATCTTAGAATTGCATTTCGTTGATTTGTATTTGAAAAAATGTTTTCTTTCAAAAATTTATGAAATCTCATTCCTTAAAATTATGTAGCATCAACATCGAAAAATGTGTTGTATCGTTTTAGACACGTATCAGACACCGACACTTGTTTGACGCAACAAAATACATATCAATTTTCTTTCAGCCCAAACATTTTTGGGACATGGTTCACATCATAAATGGGCTCAACATGTTTTGGGAACAAACTGGACACTAGAAGTAGAAAATTATAAATAAGTATAAACTAATTATAATAATCCTAATTATACATTGTAGTCAAAGCCGTTTCTTCTCTTTCATAATGGTTGAATCTATCTTTATCATTCATCAAAATGCATGCAATACTTGTTTAAGCTAAGTATCAGTATTTTCTTCTTTGTTTGTCGAAGATGAGCATCAAAGGTCCATCCTACATTCATCGAAGCCTGACATTACAGTTCTCTTTTGTCATCAAAGCCGAACTTGCACCCACTAAAGCAGAAGCCGTAAACGGAAGCCACAATGGCGACTTGTCAAATCGAAAGGAAGCGATTCCTTTCAACCAGAAAATTTTCTGTGAAAAAAAATCAATATCCTTACTATTTGGCATGAAATATTAGAGAAGCCAAGTTTGTAGAGTGAATATTGGATTATCAAATTTTGATGGTCGCATGAATTCATACTTGTTTATTGAATGACTCCCGACAGCAGAATGAGTCTTTGAGTAAAAGGATATTCCACCTGACAAAAGGATCAAGCTAACCACTAACAAGCTAAGGAAGAATGCTTCTTTATGGTAGGAAAATTTGAAGTACCTAAGCCAGTGTCAAAAGGTAAAATCACTACCTGGTTCAAAATAAAAATGGGCATGCAACGCAGGTATCTAATAACACATTACAAGCCGAATATGTTTTTGAGATTGCAGATGTTACAACAGAAAAATCTCTTTGTAGTCGAGTTTGATCAACTTATGTTGAACTGTGAGCTAGTGCACCTTGAGGAGAACACCATGGCTCGATAGCTGAGAGGATTGAAATTATCTATTGACAATGTGGTTAGTTGTAGCCTTATCTGACTTTACAAGATGTTTAGACCCTAGCCTTGAAGGTGGGGTGGAGAGACAACCTAGCAGTAGCAAGTACACACCACTCTTCAAACACAATTTAACCCCAACATCAAGCAACTGAACTAAACACAGTAGAGCATCATAGCCTGCCCCAGTTCAGATTTGAGACAAAGTAGAGACCTCAAGCACTCTAAAATTCATCCCAACCAGGAAGTGTATCTAGTGTCATGGTTTTGGGCACAATGCATCAGATTGCCCAAACAAGATAATGATCTCTTCCATGGAGTAGGGAGTAGTTAAAGAAATGACCAATGACGGAGGGAATGAAGACTTCATAGAGGACTATCAACGTTTTTGGCAATGAGGGAGAGATGTTAGCAATTCTAACTGAATCCGTGAGAGAGCCTCCAGAAGGGCTAACATTTGTTGACTTAGAAGGTAGTGAATTGAAGGAGCCAATATCATAAAAGGGGCAACCGATATTGAGGGAGTTGCGGAGATTCTGACTAACAATTTAACCTCCCAAGTGGTTGCCATTGAGAGTAGTTCAACATGCCATAAATTTCATTCCAGTGTTGATCCCTCTAGACAAATTTATTTAGCCGATACGCTCGGCCTAGTATGAGGATTGAAAACAGAGTGCATATTTAATAGCTCGAGACCTGGTTTACGGGAATACTCGTCTATGTCCAGTATTAGCTTTGGTTGTGCCAAAAAAGATGAATATTTATTCTATCAAGAAAGACTTTACAACGACGTGCATATTTCAGAGTTGTATGAAATGAACGTGAGCAGAGACTGTGTAGTGGGACTGCCTCTAACACGACAAGACGATGACTTTATTATACTGGTAGTAGATCGATTCCAGAAGGCTACAAAGAAGAAAAAGACACTTCTCCTAGCAGGGGAGAATGACACGGGAGGTTCAGCAAGAGTCGCGTGATTTCAGTGATACCGTTGACATGGTTTCAACAATTTGTAGAGGAAGATGATTTCAGTTCTTCTTCAAGAATATGGGGGCATGCGGATTTTTGCTTGGTGTGAGGAAAATGGGTGGAAAGTGGTGAGGGGGTAAGGATCCCAAGGTGCGTAGTGCTTTCTTGTGGGATCAGGAGAGGGTGCAGACGACTGTTGCGAAAATATGAAAGGAGTAGGAATCAAACACAAGCTTGACTCCATTTTTTGTGCAAATCGAAAATGAGAGGGAGAGGAAGAATCAGAGAGGAAGATGTACATATATGGTTGCCTCACAAAAAGGAGATGACGAGGTGTTGTGTTTCTGGTTGCAGGGATTGTGCAAGGGCTGAGGTAGGCTAGAGTGAGAAGCAAATTGGAGATAACACGTGAGAATTAAAGGGGAAAGAATAGGGGCGCTTCGCTTGCGCTCGTCCTATGTGAGGGCTTTTGGTCTTTAGACCGAAAGTGGGTGCTTCTTTCGATTTTAGGGACTTTTGAATGTCAGAGGAGGGAACCGTTTAACGAATCGTCATGGAGCGGGCTCGGTTAGGAAATTTCAATTGAGCACTAAGTGATTTTGAAAAAAATTACATGCTACCACTCAATTCTTCTTATTTACATATCTAATGCCTAAACTTCAGTTATTACATATGCACCACCCTATATATACATGGAAAGATGTCTTTCACTTTTTATAAATTAAGAAATGGTATTTTTGATTTACATATCTAATGCCTAGTGCTCTCTTGTGGGATCAGGAGAGGATGCAGACGACTGTTGCGAAAATATGAAAGGAGTAGGAAGCAGACACAAGCTTGACTCCATTTTTTGTGCAAATCGAGAGGGAGAGGGAGAGGAAGATGTACATATATGGTTGCCTCACAAAAAGGAGATGACGAGGTGTTGTGTTTCTGGTTGCAGGGATTCGGCAAGAGATGAGGTAGGCTAGGGTTTCTGGTCTCTTGTGTTCGCGAACCATACCTAGAGGGAGAAGCAAATGGGAGATAACACATGCGAATTAAAGGGGAAAGAATAACACATGCGAATTAAAGGGGAAAGAATATGGGCACTTTGCTTGTGCTTGTCCTATGTGAGGGCTTTTGGTCTTTAGACCGAAAGTGGGTGCTTCTTTCGATTTTAGGGACTTTCGAATGTCAGAGGAGAGAACCGTTTCACGAATCGTCATGGAGCGGGATTGGTTAGGAAATTTCAATTGAGCACTAAGTGATTTTGAAAAAAATTACATGCTACCACTCAATTCTTCTTTATTTACATATCTAATGCCTAAACTTCAGTTATTACATATGCACCACCCTATATATACATCGAAAGATGTCTTTCACTTCTTATAAATTAAGAAATGGTATTTTTGATTTGATATGAAGAATTGAGGCGGTATATATATAAAGCAAATTTTAGATGTTAGATATGGAAATGCATAGGTGGTAGTTCTTAAATTGTTTAGTGATAAGTTAATGTTTTAGTTTGAAGTTTATTTTAATTTGTTGTTATTTTAGGTTTAGGTTTTATTTAGTGTTTAATTTCTAGTTTAATTTACGTTTAAATTTAGGTTATGTTTGATTTAGGTTTAGACTTTGATTTAGATGAAATTAGATTGGGTTAAATGTTTAAACTTAATTCAATTTTAGTTTTTTTTTTAATGAATAGTTTAGTTTTAATCTCGTTTATTTAGGATTGAGTTTTAATTTAGCTTATAGGTTATATTCTAATTTAATTTAGATTAAGTTTATGCTTCAAAATTTGATATTGATTAGGTTATAATTTAGTTTTTGTCTTAGGTTTAGACTAAATTAGATTTTTTTAAAATTAAATTTAAATTTTCTTAGTTTGAGTTTAATCAAACTTAGTTATAGATTAAGTTCCATTATAAAATGTTGAATTTAGGTTTATTTAATTACATTTAAATTTGAATTAATTTTAATTTTAATTTGAGGCAAGCCCAAGCCCATCTCAACCAATCAAAGCACACGCAAGCGAAGCCAAGGCCAACCACCTATGAAAATTAAGAAGGATTCCATGCCTAGATAGGGGATCAGTCAAGGGGAAGATATTGACCAAAAATGAGGTCAACAATCATCTCATTCATCATTTTTTAGGGGTATTTACATACATAGCACAAAATTCTTATGTATTTACTTTTCTCATACTAAACTTTCATATTTACGCATACTTCGATGATTTCAATCTATGCTGTTGTTGAGCTGATATTGAAGATTTGAGTACTATGGATGCAAATATGGTAGTTTCGGTGTGAGATATGTAAATACATAAGAATTGTGTGCTACTAATGTAAATTTTATTTTTTTTTAAAATTTAAAAAATACAATGGCCAGGATATTCTTACTAAAATTTCGGCACAATTGGTCTCAAAGTCATCAGATTATCTTTGAGATTTGATTGTAATATACGAATTTACCTCATATGATGGAAGTTGACTTCTGTTTAATTCCATTAAATCAATAGGTTGAATATTTGGTGAGATAAGTTGACAGTAGTTTTATTTCATGCAGTTATATGATGTGCAATACTTCTGACTTGGGAACAGAGTGTGCAAATCCTCATGAAACCCGTGATATTCCTGAAAGATTATTGCTGTATGACCAACATTCTGGTGGTATTGGTCTTTCTTTACAGGTATGTAAATAATTAATTTACGGTGAGTGTGTTCGTATATTAACAATTTTTTATAAATTCTGGAGGTGCAATCTGTGAATTTCAATGAGTATCATCTTGGACTAAAATTTTTTACTATTGAATACATAAAAAATACTGCCATTTTAATATTTAAAAAGTGATATTTGTATGTAAAAATGGTAAGTTTGAGAGTTAGATATGTAAATACATAAGAATTGAGTGTTATGCATATAAATCTTCATCTGCCCTTTTGATTTTGAGTCATCTATAGATCCAACGGCTCTTCCGGGAGCTCCTAATAGCAGCTTCTGAGCTTGTCTCAACATGCAGTTGCTCTCACAGTGCTGGCTGTCCAAACTGTGTGCAGGTGAGCTATTCTATTGATTCAGTCTGTCAACAATAAGTCTGCAAGCCCAAATTGGATTTGTTTGGTGTCACTTTTATTTTATTTTATTTTATTTTTTTATTTATATTTTAATTTTAAAAACATATTTATTTAGTGCATTTTTTTTGTTTTTAAATACAAATTAGCTTATTTTTAAAACACTCAATACATCTAAAAGTTATTTTAAGTAATTTTAGAAACAACTAGGCATATTATAACATATTATATATGCTTTATTTCAAGTAAAAATATAAACAAAACAAAATACAAGTAAATAATGAAAAGAAATAAAATCAAAATTTGGTGGTATGTTCAATCAGGTGCTTACATGCAGTGAATACAATGAAGTTCTTGACAAAAAGGCTGCCATTATTATTCTTGATGTGAGTCTTCTATCTTTTTCTCCATTCTGTCTCAAAAGTTTATTTAGCCAATGAATAATTCCATGGATGTTCGGCTGTTTGCAGGGTGTAATTGAAGCTGAAAATACTTGATTTTGTGGCAGGGCAGGCTTCTAATTTTGTTATTTGCATAGCATTTAAGTGCATGTTTATGTGATGTTTCATTGAAATGTAATTATGACGAAGGAAATTTTCATTTATTTTATATTTAAAAAGTAAGATCAAAGCAATTTTTTTATTGTCACTGCGGTTTTCTTTGGCCCAGTTGATCAATCACTTTGGCCAAGTTGGCTATCTTAGCTCAACTGAGCTTGTTGGTCACATTACCCCGAGTCGACCACATCGGTCAACCCAGTAGGTCAAACAGCCAATCTCACTTGCATAATGTGTGTTTTACACGTGCATGAGTATTGATTGCATGACTTTGCATTAGCACATTACAAGAATAACATATGAATCTTTTCATCACTTCAAAAATATCTATATAAAGTGGATATGCATTTTCATGCATATCTTTATGATACTAAAAAATTATAAATGTAAATATGAAAATCTTGATGGTTAGATATGTAAATACAAAAAGAATTATGTCGTATGTATGTATATTCCTCAAAATTTTGGGTTGAAGATGAGAATTGTCATATATTACTCTCTAACATATTTAGTAGTAAGATTGCTTCAAAGAAGTATCATGTGAGATTTTTCCATTGTGAGATGCGCCTAAGTTGATTTTTTTTTTCAAAAAAATTCATTTAAATTATTTAGGACAAAATTAAAACTAATAGGAAATAAAGTAAAAAAAATGAAAAAAAAAATTGCAATGAATGTTGTTAAGGTTTGATTTTTAATTATCTTCGTGATAAATTAGAGAATAAAGAAGATGAATTATATGTGTAAACTAGTTAATCAAAGAGATAAGGAAAATAAAGGTTTAGTTCAAGTTTATTAAATAAGAAATTTCAAATATTCGATAAGGATATTTAACATAAGCAAGTGAGATATTTTAATAAAAATTTTTATTAAAAATAGTGAAGATGCAATCAATTTTTGTGATTTTAATATCATAAATAATAATTTTTTTTAATTTCCATCATTGCATTAGTAAAACAAAAATTAAAGATATTGTAGTGTGGAAAAGCAATTTGATTTGATAGTATTTTAATACAATTATGAAAATGTTCAGATGACCTGTGAATTTTTTAGTTTACTAAAATTTATAATACTATTTTAAAAATTAAAAAGATGTCTATTGAGTGGAGAAAGATTTTATTGGTTCTTATTTTTAAGAATAAAAGAGATGCAAAAGAGTATGTAAATTATAGCTGATATTAAGTTAAGGTGTCATGCATTAGAGTTATGAGAGGTAGTAATTGAAAATAGTTTAGGATGCAATAAGAATATTTTTCAAAATCAATTTGGATCATAACTGACAAGTTTGCTATCAAAGCTATGCATTTATTGATGGTTTGATGGAAAAGTATAGAGAGAATAAAGATGCTCCACATATGATTTTTATTGATTTAGAAAAATTTTATGATAAGTTTAGGATGCAATAAGAATTTTTTTCAAAATCAATTTGGATCATAACAGACAAGTTTGCTATCAAAGCTATGCATTTATTGAGAGGTTTGATGGAAAAGTATAGAGAGAATTAAGATGCTCCACGTATGATTTTTATTGATTTAGAAAAATTTTATGATAAAATTTCAAGAGAAATACTTTGGAGAGCTTTAGAAAATAAAAGTGTTGGTATTGCTTACATTTAATTCATTAAAGATATGTGTATTAGAGTTGTGATTTGTGTTCGAACACAAGGATGATTGACCAAATATTTTCCTATTTCATTTAGATAACAACAAGGATTAGCTTTAAGCTCATATCATTTTGCCCTAGTTATGGATGCTCTTACTAGACATTCGCAACCGTATTGTTCGTTCTTTGTTGATGATATCCTTCTTGTGGATAAGCTTGAAGAGAGAATTCGAGAAAATTTTAGATTGTGGAGGGCAACTATAGAGCCTTGAGGTTTTCGTTTGAGTATATCTAAAATGAAATTGATGGAACGTAATTTTTGTAATAATAGATCTAGTTATAGGGTTATAACAATAGGCAATCTAGTCATTAAATGGAGTGAACCTTTTAGATATCTCGGATCTATTGTTCAAAGTGATGGTGGTATAGATGGGGATGTTATTTGTAGAATTCAAGTTGGTTGGCTGACGTGGAGGAATGCATCGAGTCTATCATGAGAAGTACCGCTTAGACCTAAAGAAAACTTTTATAAGATGTTGGTGAGACCTGCAATGCTTTACCATGCATAGTTTGACCTGTAAAAGAGAAGCATAATATTAAGTTTAGTGTTGCTAAGATGAGAATGTTCAGGTGGATGAGTTATTATACACTAGAGATAAAATGCGAAACAAATATATTCTTGAAAGGGTACGAGTAGCTACATGGCGGACAAGATTACTGAGAGTCGTCTAAGATTGTTTGGTTACATTAAACATCAACCATCTGATGACCCTGTTAGTAGACTATGTTTTAGATTTTAACTTATGCTAGGAAAAGTAAAGGCAGACCTAAAAATGACTCAAGCATGTTGAATAAAAGACAGTCATAATTTATTATGATTAAATGAAAATATGGCACTTAATATGACACAACGAAAAAAAAAAAATCATATAACGGACTACACTTACTAGGATAAAAGCTTTTTTTTATTGTTGTTGTTTTCATTATTGTTAAGGCTAAATCTCAAATCATGAACACATTTTTTTTTTATATTTATTTATTTAAAACAAAATTAATTTTAGCTTGCATGTAATACATTTTGATTTTGAATCTCTAATTGTTTTATTTATTTATATTTAAACAAGTCCAGATCACTAAAAGTTATATTGTATGCTTTCTTTAAATGCCTTCAGAGCAAGTTGAACCCTCTTATGCAATGATATTCATCCTACTCTATCTGGAAATAAAATAAATCATGAAAATTTTTAATATCAAACAGTTGTGATTGTGAGAAGAGCATGGATAAACCATGAATCTCTCATGATATGAGTTAAAATAACTCCTAGTTAGTTCATCATTAACAAGAACATCACATAAAAATACAACCAACATTATTTTAGCCCACATCATCAATAGCCAATAGAAAAGCCCTTTACACGTAACCTCAACATCTTAATGATATACATCATACAAAATTACAACAATAATCGTTCACCTCTTCACATATTAAACTCCTCTTCTAATATAACTCATCACATGAACACATCATATGCTCAGAAATACAATAACTTTGAAGGACATTGTAAATGAGTGAATGATTTCCTCTTTGAATCCTCTCATATGCTCCAAATATATTATCTCTACAAGGATTTGTAGAACACCATTGTCACATATTTAGCCCGAAATCTATGGGTAGCACTGAGAGCGATGGCCGACTCGCCGATTCTCCCCTTATGGATAAAAAGATGATTTAGAACTACATGTTGTGGCCTTGAAAGCATGGAGTTCTCATCACTGAAAGTTGAGTTGAGCAACGTACATCCGAGCTGTGGAGGAACACTTGGCGGCTCCTTCGCTAAATCTTCAGAATCTAGTGGCCAGTTGTTGTAGGTTGATTCTGGGGATAGAGGTGGCTCAAAGCCGGCAACACTGCCTATTTCGTCAGGAACCGAGTCCTGCAAAAAATTTCAGAGTCGAACATTGAAGTCATTTGATTTATGCGCAAACAAACAACACATGAAAACACAATATTGGGGAATGATAATGCATGTTGTTATATTGTCCAATTTATGATCATAATCATTATTATAAACCGTGACAAGTGTATTTGTTGGATGTGAATTCTTCGAATGTGATGCAAGTCTTTTCTTATTCTTTTTTCTTCAAATCTCGTACAATTTTAATTTTCTTACTATGAGGATTTTATCATCAAATAGTTCTCATTGATCCCAAATTTTCTTGAAAATTTTCTATTTAAGAAATAATTAAATTATTATTTGAAATAAATTTGACATGATTTTTATCTAAATTACAATTTTGTGTACTGTGAACTTGCCTTCATGTATGATTTTGAGCACCTCTGAAAACCTTAGAAGTTCAGACTTGAGGAATCCTACATCATTCTTGAGATTTGAATGGCCCTAAGCTATGCTCATATATTTTCAAGTACAATTGGGCTTAGCTTGCATTTTGTGGGATCAAAAAAGGGTAGACCAACTCATTCTCCAGGAACTCAAATAAGTAGAAAATTGTGCTATAAAATTGCAGTTCTAACATGACCAATCATTCCTTATTTCTAAATATGATTACAAGCATTTTTCCTTAACTTAATCTTATCAGATTAAATAAGAAATATAGGACATTTCTTCAAAAAAAATATTGTAAAAAGGCAGTAATCTTCTACAATCATGCATGTTATCAGATTGATTGAATCTTCAAATTGGGGCAAAACAGTCATCACTAGGGTTTATTTCAACCTCATATTAAAAAGTTCCAAAACTAAATTGACATTCTTATAAACTCTGGGACTAAAATGATTAACTACAAAGAGCTAGAGAATTATTATGACACTTTTTTTTCTACAAAATGTGCTGGTTGTCAGCAAAGTTTGCAAATTGATCCCTTATGAAGGGAGCATAGGAAAGATTAAAAAGAAAAAAAAAGAAAAGATAAAGGTGATGCTCTTAGAAGTGTACAAGTTTAGCCCGATATACTTTCATTGGCAAGTTCTTCAGTTAATTATCTGTAAAACAGATTTCTCACCTGCAAATCCAAGATGTTGAAGGCATTTCCAAATTCATCGTGCTCCAACGGCATGTCAGGCGAATATCTGCTTTCACCATCGACGGAGAATCTGTACCGGTAGACTCCTGATGGAAGAACTTTCATAATTGTGAAATCCTTTCCAGATTTTTGCAAGACTTTCCTGCAAACAAAAAAAAGTTAACTTTTATTTTGCATCATGCTCGAAACACTTACAATAAGGAATGAACAGATGAAAGAATAGCATGCTATAGAAATAACTCCATAGCCATTTCCCTATACTTTGTATTCCAATTATCCCATGACCCTTCCACAGCAACTTCTTTGCCTCCATAACTCCATGTTATCATTGTTGGAATTCCTTGTTCATAGATTATATCATCATATTGGGGGAAGTTATGCACCCGTGTATTTCCCATAGGAAGCAACTCATCCGGCCTTCGTAATGGAACCGTCGGATTCTGCAGATAAATTAAAATTTCATGAAGAACCCCCACTAACCAATCTCATAAAAGATTTAGTAAATTCTGTAAATTTGGATTTACAATATGATGCCAACACCAGGATTTAGTAAATCCAGGATTGAAGAAAACTGAGAAGAAACTGGATTTACTAAATCCAAGATTTTAATTTGTCATTTTTTTCTATCCAGCAAGCTTCAAGCTAAATCCAACTTAAACCTGCTATCAAACAACCCCTAAGTTTTAAGTGAGGTCCACTAATTAAGTTTACCACCTTGTTGATAATGGATACTGGAGAACCTGATCTTTGCCATAAATGTGATCAATATTCATAAAAGCGCAAATAAGTTGTAAATTTGTTGCAAAATTACAAAATGGCTACATGCTTTGCATTTAAACAACACAAAGAATAAGAGGCATTTCTTGTGTACAGCTTATGCATTAATGTGTTTGTTGAATGAATTGTAGCTTGCACAATAACAGCCAAAAATTTTAATAATACCTAAACTAATCTTACTCTAATGACAAAAAAAAAAAAACGTTTGAAGCCTAGCTTATCCTTTTTCCACATATGGATTAATTATTAATTAAGTAAATTAATTGAATAGAAAAATATTTTAAAAATAAGTTGAATAAAAAACATTTATAAATCAAGTCAAATAAGTAAACAATTCATGACTGTGACACTGATTTAAGTTGATTATAAACTAGACTTATATTTCAATAGGCTAAACATGAACATTAAGTACTTAAAAGGTTAATTAGACATTGAGCATATGAATTAATGTGTTAATTTATCCAAAAAATTAGAAAGTAAATGATAATTACTATGCAAATTTGCTTCTAACTAAAGCTAATCAAACAAATATTTAAAGCACTTGATCCTAAATGGATATATATACACATGCTAAATTAATTATAACATCTATTGTTCTTTACTTTTCTTTAATCATTCAATCTAGAATTAAAAGATTTCAATTGCTTCACCTTCTTAGGACTCCATCAAAAAAAAAAAAAAAATGGAAATGCATCTTTTCTTTACTTTTCACTACATCCAAGTGCTATATTTTCTTCCCTCAATTCCCAATCAAAGTGTAAATCAAATTAAGGCATAACTTGTGACAACCAGAAGTCTCACACATCAAGGTATTGTCTCCTTTGGCCTAGGGGCCTCATGGCTTTGCCTCATTGGCGTAACTTCTGAGGAGGTCACACATCCTAGGAATGCTACATGGCGAACACACTTAACTTGGAGTTTCTAATAAAATTCTACCGTTGCATCAAAAAATGCCTCCATGTTTAAGAGTTTGGCTTCAACACGTTAAAGGGTTTCACATAACTTGCATAGCATTCAGTCTAGTAAACACAATAAGTTACAAATAAAGCATTAAGTAGACACAAATTATCAAGCATAATACCAGTTCAAGTAAGTGCAATATTATGACTTTCCAACCAACAGAAAACACAAATAGATAAAAAAAAGTTCAGCAAGTCGAATACAGCAATTTTCACTGCAAAAGTAATAAAAAAAACAAATCTAATTATACAAAAAAAGATCCCCTTTGTGATAAATAAAATAACACAAATTACCTGAGGAGTGAACAACAAAGGGCTTTGTGCTGTTCTTTTAAAGCTTTGTGGAGGGCTCTGCCTCATCAAATCCTGCACATCATCGCCCTCATTTTCCTCTTCTTCTCCACCTTCTCCCAAACTGCTTGCATTCCCCATTATCTGAAAGCACAAAAGAAAACCAATGGAGGAGAAGAAGAAGCCCTAGAATCTCTTAGAACATAGAAACAGCAAAATAATCTCCTCAAACCGAAGAAGTAACTCTAGAATCTTGGCTCAAAATAATAAAAAAAAAGTTTAAAAAAATTACAATTATTCAACTTGAATGCAACATATCACCAAACATGGACTTGAAGTGCTAAAAACGGGAAAAGAAAATGAGTGGGAGAAAGTGGCTCAAGGTAAAGAGAAAGGGAAAGGAGAAAGGGAAATGGTGCAAAACGGTCCAATAAAGAGGGGTAAAAAGCAAAAAACCAAGATATCTCCCTCCAACCACAGCAAAAAGAAAAACTAACCACAAAACCCTAAATCACTTTGCATCAATGACGACAGAAGAAACCCGAAATTAAATTCACAAAATAAATTAAATAAACTAATGAAAATTTGGAAAATTTGCATCTTTACCCTCTGCAAGACTGAAATAGTCCAAAGCTCCTTTCTTTATCCCCCCTCCATTGATAGACACGGGGCTCCTTCCTCCAATAGCTTAAGCTGGGAGAATCCCAGTATCGGAATCACTGCATCGATGAGAATTTATTAAAATACGATAAATGTCCACAATCTTATGTATTTACATAACTAATCCAAACTTTAATCTTTATCTTTACACCACCCAAATTTAGTGGTATGTATGTAAAAATTCCTTTCTTTTTCTAAAAATATAAAAGAAAATTTACATATTTAAAGCTTAATTTCTAGGTAATTAGATACATAACATCAAAAATTTAATTTTTATATATATGCATCCCAACTTATCACTTTTTAAGAACTTGAGTGGTACAATGTAAGAAGTTTAGATATTAGATATGTAAATTCATAAAAGTTGGGTCATCTGTCTGTAAATTAAAGATGAGAAAGATACCTGAGAAATCATCCGCTCTCGGCCATGAATGCAGAACAACAATAAATATTCGTTCAGCCACGCGTGCAGAAGACAGAAAATGTTGGGATTATTTCGGCGGAATTCAAAATCAACTGTCTTAAAAAGGAAAATTACGTAAATAGCACCAAATTCTTATGAATTTATTTATCTCACACTAAAATTTTTCTTTTTACACATAATATTTTACTAAAAGATAATAATGGGTGTTAATTTTTATATGATGTTTATAATTATAAAAATTTATGTCCCTTATTTTTCATTTTTAGCGATCTTCTGAAATAAGGCTACAGTGACCTTCAGAAAGAAGAATTAGCTTCTCCACAAAAGCAAAGCATTCTTCATGTCCTTGCTTTGCTGGATGAAGCTTTAATTGGTATCCGGAACAAAACAGTATTTTCCATTAATCATGTCAGAAAACCCAAAGTCCCTTTTAAGATTCTTCAAAGCCTTCAATCCTTACCAGAAAATCATCACAAGAACAGACCATATGCTAAATTTATGATCCGAATTTTGAAGTCCTGCTAATCATCTCATAAGAAAATTAAGAAAATTGTGAACACTTGGATTGTAATTCATGTGCTACTGATTTAGTGGCTCTCTTTTAATCATTTCTTTTAAATCGGTTTTGATAAAGCCATAAATGCCCATGTCAATGGAGCCACATCAGTGTGTGAGGGTGATAGGACCAGTCGAATGAGATTCCGACGCTCGTCATTTTATAGAGGCTAAGGCTCAAGGATGGAGAGAGGTCAATTTCCCCTGATGTCGTTGATATAGGAGAAAGCATATATCCAACCACATCAATGGTCGAGAGGTACTACACCGACTGCATCTTCATCTATATCCTTCGTATGTCATCATAAATTGATTTTGAGTGATATATTTGAATTGCTTCATTATTAAATGCAAGAATTTTTCTGCAATAAGAACCCCTGTTATGTTTTATATGAACTACGTTCTACTTGAGTTTTTCCTGTGTTGGATTTTTCACATAAAAATTAATGTGTTATTTCTTTTGTTTATTTTCTTATCTGTTACATTAATAAATATCAAATTACAATAAAATAATATATAAAAAATTTAATTTCAAGAACATAGATCCACTCATCATGCCCTGTACTAGAAATTATTTCTAAATTCACCGTTCAAGAATCAAACCAGAGAGAAAAGCCTCAAAACCTGCTTACATGAATATTCAGAAAAGAGTTTACAGTACTAGAACTTGGCTCTGATACCACTTGTTGAGAAAATTAGGGCGAAGAAAACAGTAATCGACACAAATCCAGAAGAACACAGAGATTTAACGAGGTTCGGCAAAGATGCCTACGTCCTCGGGAGCAGAGCGGCGAGTTCCTTTCAATATTCAGAAAAGAGTTTACAGAAATCAGGGATACCTCAAAGTAGACA